TGAACATTAGTGGGGCTCAGAAAAAAAAAGTGAGCCACGTCTACTTTTACCTGGAAGACGCTGGAAGGACCTGGTTCGAAAACCATGAGTCGTCACTTCAAACCTGTTATCTCTTCCGCGGTGCATTTCTAAAAACGTTCACGAGCGTCGCCCGAAAAAAAAAAGGCTGCTGCTGTGCTGAAAAGAAGGGCACATCTTCCGAATGAAAACGTCCCCATTTTCGCAGATTCGTTTGTTCTGACTCACCAATCCTGGCATGATTCAACAGAAGAAAGTCCGTTTGTTCAGGCGAGGAGTAAAGCAAGACCTCTTCGTTGAGCTGGTGCGGAACCCACCAAAAACAGTTCAAAAGTTTATCTCAGAGACTACGACAACCGAAAAGACTTTAGAAATGCGTATCCGCCATTACGATCGGTGATCGATGAAAGACAGCTCAGCTGTTCATGCCCTCGACTCTGAAGACATACGTGAAACGATCCGACAGATCTTGCGGGCGGAGCTACGGATGCTGCTGCCACTATGGCAGCCTCAAGTGTACCCGATTGCCGATATTTCCCGCGAAGAAGTTCGGCAATCACTAGGAGTTTCTGAAGCACCACAGCCTCAGCCGCAGGCAATGAGCTACGTTGCTGCAGCCCGACGCTACGTCCTCCCTCCGCGCCCTCAACAAGATGCTGCTCCGCCGAACGGCCGTTGCCAAGCAACGCGGCCGCCACCACCACTGACGCCCTACCGTTCTCCTCTGGGTCAGCGCTACACACCAAGGAAAACAGATGCTTGGCGCGCCCCTGATTACCGCCCACCAACTACCACTGTTAGGAGGCCGGCCACAGTTACCGTCGCTTCCAGTACCGACGGATGAGTCTCCGCGAATTCGTCGTCAACGCGCCGCGTCCACAGCTGGGCGAAATGCCTCGCGACATCGCCGATTACATCACCAGAACGCAGTGGCAAGAACGAAACAATGCACTCCCCGTCACCCAGCCGTTTCAACTCGCCGCAACACCGGCCGTACACTGGCCCGATCCGTGGCCGGTCGCCTAGCCCGCATCACTCGGAAAACTAAAGACAGCAACCGGTGGAGGTGTGGTTGCTGTACGACGAACTGCCGCAGATTCTCCGCCACCTTCGACGACGCCACGACGAAACCTCAAGAACCCACCGCAACATGAACGTTGCCCTGACGTCAAAACTTCGGGGCCAGAAGACTTGACGATGCAACCTCGAAGCAGCAGTACAAACCGTCGTAGCCGAGATCCGACGCCACGATCTAACTGCACGTGAGGAGACGAACTAGCGACCTAGACGTCCTCATCGATGGCCACAGCGTCACAGCTTTAGTTGACACCGGAGCTGACTATCCCGTCATCAGCGGGGCATTCGCCACGAAGTTGGAAAAAGTGAGGACTACATGGCAAGGCCTAAAAATCTGATCTCGATGTCACTTAATAACGCCGACTGGAGTCTGCACAGCACACCGTATCTGTGGCATTGCACGTACGCGTCCGCTTCAGCTACGGGAGGAGCGGGGTTCAATCCCCAGTGCTGGCCGGCCACCCGCCGGTAGCTAAACAGGGTACAGGTGGGCTTCGAGGGGCTGTGACGCGTCGCCCGAGTGGTGAAGCTTACTCTGCCTGGAGGAATCCCATCCAGTTGCGCGGGACCCGGCGGAGTCTGCACAGCCAGAGTCACCATCAATAACCAGACTTGTCCTGCCAGCTTTGTCATTTTACAAAATTGCTCCAAAGATGTGATACTTGGTATGGACTTTTTGAGTCAACACGGCACTGTCATCGACCTGAGGTCAGAGTCAATCATAATAACCTCAGAAAACACGCTGCCGACCCCTACAACGCCAAGGAATCATGCATTGACTCTGCAAGAAGAGCAGGCCACTGTGCACACCTTCCTCCTGCGTCGTCATTTCCATTGGCACCGAAAAAGCCGAAAACCTTGAAGACATTCTTGAAGGTGTCCAGCGCTTTCTTCTAAACCATTATATTTTCGTCGCAAGAGGCACAGATGAGCTGCGTGACGGCATAGCAAAGGTGGTGCTGACAAACTTCCCTCACTAATAGTCACATCGGCCGTGGCACGACGGTCGCCTACATCGATAAATTCGTGTAAGCCAGCGATTAGTTCTCCCTCTTCAATGCTGCCGATGCTGCTGCGATGAACCAAGGTTTCGAACCAGATTTTGATGTCAGCCCGAGCCTTTCGAAGTGCAAGAAAAACCAGCTCAAATCCCTGCTCTTGCAATTAAATGACTGCTTCTCATCATCATCACGAATTCGACAAACCCCAGTCGCCAAACATCACATTACAACAGAAGAGAGTGCCCGACCAGTTCTACAAAGCCCGTAACGTGTCTCGGCGCGCAAATGCCACGCCGTGAAGAAACAAGTCACAGAAATGCTTCGCGATGACATTATTCAGCCTTCGAAGAGTCCGTGGGCGTCACCCGTGGTATTAGTGAAGAAGAAGCATGGGACCCTATGTTTTTGCGCCGATTACCGCTGCCTGATCAAAATCACGAAGAATGACGTGTACCCTCTTCCCCATATCGATGACGTCCTGAACTGGCTACACACCGCCAAGTACTTTTCCTCGATGCACTTCAAAACGGGCTATTGGCAAATTGAGGTTGACGATGGAGATCGAGCGAAGACGGCCTTTATCCCACCAGACAGCCTCTTTGAGCTTACTTTTTGGTCAGGGTCATGCTTATTGGTCTTTGCTCAGCGCCTGCGACGTTCCAGCGCGTCATGAACAGCGTGCTGGCTGGATAGAAATGTAAGACTTGCCTCGCGTACTTGGATGACACCATCGTGTTTTCCTCCAGCGCCTTGAAGTGGTACTACAAGTTATCAACACCTCTGGGCAAACCCTGAAGCCAGAAAAGTGCCGCTTCGCGTACGAGGAGCTGCTCGTCCTAGAACACGTCATTAGCGAATCTGGAGTTCGTCCCGATCTGCGAAAAACAGCCGCCATCGCCGATTTTCCGCAGCCCACTGACCAGAAGGCTGTACGCTGATTCCTCGGATTTGTGCGACAGGTTGCCGAGCCACTAACTCACCTGACGAAAAACAACGTCGAATTCATTTGGGAAGCAGCACAAGAAGAAGCATTTCAGGAGCTTAAACGACGCCTGCAGACACCACCGATACTTGCGCATTTCGACGAATACGCCGAAAGAGAAACACACACCGACGCAAGCAGCGTAGGACTCGGTGCCATCCTTGTGCAAAAGGCTGATGGCGTGGAAAGGGTTATCAGTTATGCTCGCCGGTCGCTATCCCAGGCCAAGGACAACTATTCCACAACAGAAAAGGAGTGCCTTGCCATCATCTGGGCAGCGTCAAAGTTTCGCCCCTACCTCTACGGCAGGCCATTTAAAGTTGTGCGTAACCGCCACGCCTTCTGTTGGCTAGCTAACCTGAAAGACACTTCAGGTTGCCTCGCACGGTGGAGCCTCAGACTTCGAAAATTCGACATGACCAGTGCCTTCAAGGTAGCAAGTTTCTTCATCGAGAACATTATTCTGCGTCACGGAGCTCCACAGGTCCTCATTACTGATAGAGGTACGGCTTTACAGAAGACCTAACTCAGGCGATCCTGAGGTACAGCCACACAAGTCACCGCCGGACCACTTCCTACCATCCAGAGACCAACGGCCTCATCGAACGTCTTAATAAGACCACCACTGATATGCTGGCCCTGTACGTCGACATGGAGCACAAGACATGGGATGAAATCCTTCCGTACGTGACCTTCTCGTTCAATACGACCGTCCAAGAAACGACGCAGATCCCGCCGTAAAAGTTTGTCTATGGTAGGTGCCCGGCAATGACGCTCGGCGCTATGCTTTCAAATGTCGCTAACGAAGAGAACCTCGACGTCACCACCTACATTCAGCGCGATGAAGAAGGTCGTCAACTCACCCGCCTGCGCATCAAGAGTCAGCCGGTGATCGACAGCTGCCATTCAATCTTCGATGAAGCTTCGTGGAGTACCAGCCCGGGGACCGCGTCTGGGAATGGATGCCGATACGCCGACATGGGCTCTGTGAAAAACGGCTGCGACGGTACTTCGGACCGTGAAAAGTAGTTCGATGTGTCAGCCCACTCGACTACAAGGTTGATCCCGACGGCATTACGAACTCTTGACGGGGCCGTGCTCGATCAGAAGTCGTCCACGTCGTGCGCCTCAAGCGATTTCATGCGCGAACCTGAGGACTGTATTTTATTGTTGCCGTGCTTCATCGCCTGTACTTATTGTTTACTGTCTTTATTATTGTAGCTTCGTCTTATTATTGTAGCTTCGTCTTTTGTTAAAGCATCAGGACGATGTCTTTTTTAGATGGGGGCAATGCCACGTTCGTTTTCTCAAGTTTGTTTACGCCCCGTTACACTACGTTCAGCGCAAACCACGCACTACGATGTTCGAGAAGCTTCGAGGCTGCAGTAGATCGTTTTTTACGCTCATTTCGTGAACATTGCGGACTATTCAGGAACCTACGTCACCGCTAATGATAACGCTTGAATATTCTATGCCAAGGGTGTTAATGCCGACACGCTTCGCCACTTGTCAGTTGATCGATGGCCGACATTCTGTTCACCACTATCAGCGCCAGTGTCTTGTAATCTGACTTTCCTTTTATGTGATCCCATGTTTGGTCAAAATGAACAGTTTATTGTTTGACCAGCAGTCTGCTGACTTTGTTCGCGTCACGACCCATGACAGTATTATTGCGGATAAGGACCACGAACTTAGAGCTTTCAGTGTTCCACTTAGTCCCTTTAGCAATATTTATACCACGTTTATTAATTTTTTTGCATGCTAGTTGGGATAGCTACACTTACAAGAATTTTAGAATCTACTTTGCAATATACTACAAGTAGCAAATAGAGCCGCAAAATCCAATAATTTAGCCCGAGCACGAAACCTGGCGTGCAGCATTAAATTCATGTGTCCTTAATACATATAGGACAATAGTTGTGAGGCTATATTAGACTTTTTTATTATACGGAGGTGATACTAAACTTATTCTAAAAAGTGCAGATAAACGTTATTTTCTATCCACTTCCACGTATTCATCATAATAGTACAATCCGCAATAGAATAGGCAATCATCATAATCTTCGAAGCTGTTGCAGCTGGGGCTCTCCCCTATATCTTCTATGCACGTATTAGTGCTGATGTTGTAGTAGAACATGGGCTTTCTTATGTAACCAAGCGTGATATTTGGAGGGCAGTTCCAGCATGCTGTAATCAAAGACAAAATTTATCATTAAATTCATTCAGCTCTTATCGCTATCGACGTAAATATATCCAGTAAAAGAAATTTTCCAATGTAACAAAGAAATTTCCCCTTTTAGCTTTATATCATAGCGTTAAATACTGTATTTAAAGTGAATAACCAATATTTTCATGGCAGTGCACTAAATTTAGCAGTCTTTGCCAAAATAAACTAGCATGACTTCAGTGACTTCTTTCAAATTTTTAACACAAAAGTGTTTTATAGCGGTGCCCACCAGGCATCCGTTGACGTACTTCCGTCACGGAGGTGACGTTGAAATTTATATACTAAAAGATTGCGACGGAAAAAACCAGAAGGCAAGCATTTGTCACACTGAATCGAACCAGCAACCTCTCGACTTCCAGCGCGTGGCGCCAACCATTACGCCACAGAGTACACGTTGTCTGGAGTTCCGGCAAGACATTCATACATACACAGTTTGGCAGTCTTCAGAGGTTCGAAACTTTAGCGCGTGTTCATTATCAGTTGCGAGATGCCGTTACAGGCTCGTGTTGGGAAGGGGGGGGGGGTTGTGCTAGCGTTGGGTGCGCTCTTAAAATCGCCGCCTTCATGAAGCACTATACCTCCAGGAAGCGTGGTTTGTCCAGCGAGTGCGCTTATTAGACATGTTATTCGTGAGAGGATGAAGGTCACTTCGCAGACTGCCGTGGCCACATTTACAAATGGAGCGTGCTGCTGACACACAACACAAGAAGAATTGTGACAGGCGTTTGCGCTTGTCTTGTATACACTTGTGCACTCGTTTTGCTTGTCTTTCTCTCTGTGTGAGCACCGCGGTTTAAGCGCCGAGCTATGACATTGGCTAGTCCGCGCTCGTCCTGTGTGTGCTAATTTCGTGCGTGCTCTCTACATGAGGTGAGCGCTAAAACTTCGAGCCGCTTGCTGTTCCTAACTTGATTTGCAATTTGTTGCTGTTGCTGAAACAATGCACAATAGAAGCTCAACGGCATACGTAAAGACATGCTTTACTTTTGTATTTTACAGATTCCTATATAGAGGTATCGGGCACAATTTTTTCAAATGCGCACCATTTTTAAATCGCACGATGTCACGCGTCATGCGTCGGCAGCGATGTCCACACCCGCACTGCGCATGCTCCAACCTGTTTCCTCCTCCCTTCCCCCTTCTCTCGCCTTGCAAGGCGGACGTCCGCAACGTCAAACAGTAGAAACCGTCTGCTCGAGCTGTACAACTGTTCACTGGCCACCACGTATTTGTAGGCACAGGATTGCACATCAGCGTCTCACCACTCGTTGAAGGCAACACTTCTCTTTCATTAAATAAATCCGAATAATAAAGATGAACTAACAGTAAAGCATTCATAAACCGTACAAAATAACGAAACAGTCATGCAATACCACTCCGCGACGCATTTACTTCAGTTCTCCCTGTGAGAAAATGCAGGCGGCTTTTATTTTACACAGAAAGTTTATATACCGACGTGCACTATAACGCTATCACGTTAAAACATGTAGCCGTGCTAGTCATGACACTAGCTTAATTTTGGTTAGACTGTGTGACGTAGTCGATAGCACTTTTACATATCAAATTGCGCTAGGCGGTAATGACTTGCCAATGCAAATGCTTCCACGGGAAGGTTGTGGAAACCTCCGTTATTTGATAGTTTATACAACAGATCGCGCGGATAATATTCTTGAAACTTTCTTCCTCTGCCTTCTCGCACATTAGCTCAACTGCGTACAACCAACAAGCCTTACCCTGGCCCGTCTAGCTATACTATTAGCTCACGCTGACGACAAGGAACGACACACTTCGTAACTTTACCCAACATGTCATGTAACACTAAAAACACTGAATGATTTATTGCTTTATTGATTTAATTGCAACATACGCTACAGCTTATTTGTGTAAAGGTGTGCTATAAAAGCACAAAAAATCACAGCATATTGTGACAATGGAACGCGTTTATTTACAAGATGGGTAACGCAGAGGTGTAGCTCAGCGAAGGATCCACAGCGTCGCTCGCGAGCCAGCCGAGTCTCTTCCTCCTCTTCGTCGAATATTCGCTAGCGCGTTTCACTTCCCGGTTCGCAGACGATGCCCTCTGGGCGAGTCACTCAGATGGTTGATGGTGGCACGGTTTAAGGCGCGCAACGTGTGTCAGTTGTGTTTTGCTAGAGTGGCGACCGTTGCTTGTGACGCTCGAGATTACGTACGTGACGTCGCTGAGGCGGTCAAGAAGGACGAATGGACCGGAATAGTGAGCCAAGAACTTCTGGCACAAACCACGTTTGCGGACTGGTGTCCATAACTACACAAGATCGTCCTTACTATAAGATACGGAGCGATGGCAGGCGTCGTAACGTTCCTTAGAACGCTGCTGGGATGCCAAGGTTCGGAGGCGTGCGATGCGATGGGCTTCTTCTGCGCGGCAGAGCGTCTCGGCTGTCGAGGTTTCCACGTCTAGTGTAAAAGGTAGTATAGTGTCTAGACAAAATCGTGAGGAGTGAGCGTAGAACAGGTAAATTGGAGAGTAACCTGTAGTCTCATGCTTCGTGGTGTTGTGCGCGTACGTGATGTAAGGTAGCACTTCGTCCCAGTTTTTGTGCTGAGCTACACCTCTGCGTTACCCAGCACCTCCACCACAATTGTGACGATGGAATGCGTTTATTTACAAGATGGGTAACGCAGAGGTGTAGCTCAGCGAAGGATCCACAGCGTCGCTCGCGAGCCAGCCGAGTCTCTTCCTCCTCTTCGTCGAATATTCGCTAGCGCGTTTCACTATCCAAGAAATTAATAATAATGAGTGGGCGAAGCATCCATCCGTCCATCCGTGCGTCCATTCGTCCGTGTGTACGTCTAGTGAACACTCCAAGTACCGCCATGTCACATCTTTTCATCATATATTCATCATATACAAGTACCGCCATTCAGCGGACATTCCAAGGACTAAGCGAGAGGTGGTCACCTACTACTACTACTACTACTACTACTACTACTACTACTACTACTACTACTACTACTACTACTACTACTACCACTACTACTACTACTACTACGGCCGCTAGATGAAAGAGCGCACGGGTACGGCCCGCCACGTTCTCCAAAACCGGTGTAGGAAGTCTAGTTCCCGAACCACCGCTGCGGTGCCACCGGGGAAGGGGGGCGGCAGTTTTCACGAGCGCCCATAGAATCGCATGCGCGGCGCGCTTGTGGTAGTTACGATTGAGCGCGCGCATTTTTGTGTGACCCGCGAAATCGTCTTTTAATATCCGTCTGGCGTGTGTCCATTAGGTAATTATCGAACTTGCGTTTGGATACCTTCAACCCTTGCAAAGTTTTGGCATTGTCTTACCCGAGGTGGAAATTTGCCCACCAATCAGCTTTTGCGTAAGTAAGAACTGTGGGCACATTTCACTCGGATCCTACAGGATCACAACTAACAGATCTGGAAGAGCTAGACGTTTCCAATGCATCTGAATTGATTATAGTAACTGTGGTTATGTCGCATCAGAAAACGTTACTTCAAATTTATTCATTTTGTTTAAAATAAGTAACTTCAGCAATTGCAGTTGACACTGTTCCTTTAAATTAACACAAAATAAGACACACTTTTACTTCCATCAAACACTTCTATAGTATTACAATATACAGCATCAAATGCAACAGGCACAAAATATACTTAGCATGTGTGCGATCTCATAACAGTGGACTCGAGCCTCTTTGAAATTTCAGTGACTGTAACTTCAATGCTGACAATTGAGCGAGCAGTTATGAAGTGAATATTTTAAAAAGTGACACGAAAAGAGCAATGAAATGCTGCAGAATGTGAACAAAACTGCTTCTGTTAATGCGCTTTTGAATGTTTTCGTCTCTTTGCGTCCCGACGTTCTTATGATAATGCAACTAATTAAAAAGTGTACACATATTTGGAACAAGAAGTGCGAAAATATTTTATTTATTCTCTATTAAGAAGCAGATCCTGGAATGTTCATTTTTTTACTTCTTTACACTTTTACATAATAAAACGACGTGACAACTGCACCAGATTGTGCGCCCAACTTTTGGGTTCTGTGTCTATCGATAATAAAACCATTTGTTCGGTCTTTTCAAGTTAGCCTCTTCACGGGCACTAGTGTATCCCGATAGCACTCCAACGAGCTTGTCTTCTGGCAGTCTCTATCGTGAGGTTCTGCCATCCAATACTGTTTATTTGATTTGCGCTGCTATGTATCGTCGACATATTGACACCTGTGCTCGCTCAAGCACGTCACGTGCACTCGACTGCCCTACAGCAGCCGTGGTTTTGGTATGTGTAAACATGATAAAAACGAACGTGGTTGTCACACTTGACCCAGCTATATATATATATATATATATATATATATTTATATATATATATGCGTGTGTGTGTGTGTGCTTGAGTTTATCTTAGCAGTATCATGATTTTGTTTCAGGATTTGAGGCCTATTATTGTCAGCGTCATTGCTCTAGATATAAGCTACTTCCCGCATATTTGTCTATCTATCTGTCTACCTACCTCTCTATCTATCGATCAATCTGTCTCTCTCTTCTCTCTCTCTCTCTCTCTCTCTCTCTCTCTCTCTCTCTCTCTATATATATATATATATATATATATATATATATATATATATATATATATATATATATATATATAAATGTCCTGTCTAGTAAGAACTATCAATAAATTAGAATGCCACTTCTAATACTTTCGCAGCCTCTTCAATAAAGTTACGAGGAGGGCATCACCATGATTGCAGAAACCGCTTTCATCTAGCGTTTGAAGCTTGATTACTTTTCGGCACACTACCGTGTACCGGATAACATGAAAGCTATTCACAATTTGTTTCTTTCATATGCTTTCAGCATATAAGAGCTCTGAACGTCTAGTGTCAAGTGTCCCAAAAATTAATTGCCGTGCATTCCGGTTGAGAAAACGCAAAAGTGCTGAATAAACGTCACA